CGTGTTCGGCCGTTATGGCTGCCAAAAGGGAAGCCGGTTCCTTCAGATGATAAGAGCAAAGAAGAAAATTCTTAGTTTATCAGAATGTTAGGTCTGACACAGTGGGGCAAAAGGATGGCTATTTAATGAACTAAAGATAGGCCAAGATAAATTGTAATTAGGCTCTGGACCTACAACATTCCAGCCTTTCCACAGTCATTGAGGTTTTAATCTATCAGCCTTTGTAAACAGTTTGCAGGGGTCCTGGTTCACTGGTGTTTTATAGGACAAGTGCCCTGATTTGCTAATTCATTAGGGCAGAGAGAAAGAGATGGAGGGGGCAGTGAAGAGAGGGTGTGCTGTTAGAGCACCAGTGAAATTAAAAGACAAAATTAGGTTGATTCTGTGGCATTTGATTGTTACAAAACAGACAACTGAAAAGGGTACAGTGTCAATCATGGGAGCTTATCGAACATTTTTAAATAAGTACCAAGGCCTCTCCTCTTGTTTTCTTTTCAGGGATACCATTTAATTTAATTGTATGATTTGTCTGCACTCAGTTTAATCCCTTCTCAAATCTCAGCCCCACATTGTTCTTTGTTATTGTCAGAAAACCTGGTGAGTTGTTTTGAACAGAACTGTTTCCCTCCTGTAAGATAATGTTACTGCACAAGTCACCACAGTGTTTTCATAATAAACTTGAGAACTGAGAAAGTCAGGTTTGAATTGTCTCAGTGGGAATGACTAGTGCTTTTTATTAAACAAGATAAATCCATTGATCAATTTTGGAATTTGTAGAATTCCAGGTAAAGAAAAATAAAGATCAAGGCCACTGTGTAACCTCTCTGGCAACTCCTTGGCATTCTTCAGAAGAACTTGGGGACCTGTTTGTCTGCCATATGACATATGACTGCAATTTGTCTTGTTGCTGGCCTGCCCTTGTGAAAGGAATCTGTGCTGCTTCAGTAGGACTTGATTGTTAAACCATAGAACTTGAGAGTTTGTTTTTAGGTTTTTACTTAAAATGGCGTGTTTTCAGGTAGAACTTAACAAACTAAATGATGTGTCTAATTAGTGTAGTTTCTGGTTATAAATATGTGTATTTCATGACTAAAATGATTGACAGAATGGTAAGTTCTTTTTTTTTTTTTTTTGGTTTTTTGAGACGGGGTTTCTCTGTGGCTTTGGAGGCTGTCCTAGAACCAGCCCTTGTAGACCAGGCTGCTCTCAAACTCACAGAGATCCACCTGCCTCTGCCTCCCGAGTGCTGGGATTAAAGGCGTGCACCACCAACACCCAGCCAGAATGATAAGTTCTTAACAAACATACATTTTTTTGTCAAGTCATGTGATCTTAGAGTTCAATTTGTCTCAGATAAGCTGTTAATTAGAACCTTAGCCTGTGTTAAGTTCTTTAAGTGGTAAATCAGTGAAGCCAAGTAGAAACAGATTTTTGGGTTATGGTTCATGTTTTGTCCCAGATCCAAGAGTAGCGCCTGAGTGCCATGCTCAGTGAATAATGAGTTTTCCCTACTTTTCTTTGACTTGGCTTAAAAAAACAAAGACAGTTCTTCTGTGGGGACTGAATATTTTCTATTTTAAGCTACATGGGCAAACATCAGGATGCTTAATCATTACTGTGTGAGTGTAGTAAATAAATGTTTCCTTGCTTTGAAAAAAAAAACAAGGCAGAGTGTGAAAAGGGACTAGAGTGTGACAGGTATCATCTGATAATATGCCGACACTGGCCCTTTTGTTAGGGAGTAATATGGCCTGGTGGTCAGGGCTTTGAATGGAAATATTTATAGTAAATTGTCATATTGTTTGGGAATAGCTTTAAAAAATACTCTAGTTTTAAGAGGTGAGGCTTCTTGTGAGACTGTGGCAAAACACTAACAGTGCAGAAGCCAGTGATGAACACCGTGTGTGTGTGTGTGTGTGTGTGTGTGTGTGGGGGGGGGGTTATGCAGTTTTCTTTTGAAATTTTCTGGGATAAGACTTAAAACATCCTGTGGTTTTCCCTGGAAGTAACCAGGTCACCAAATTGCTCCCATCCTGAACATGGTTTCTCTTCAATCTTGGGTCTTATTTGTTGTGAGACTTAAAAGAAATGGTACATGTCCACGACTGGCACATCCATCTGTAGAGACAGATGAAGTGTAAAACTGCTGTATGTGGAGACAGGTAAGTATATCTCATCCCAGGGGTGAGGCCCTTGGGGACCCTGAACAGCTTCTCAATACAACCCACAGGGTTCTACTGCTAGGAGGCTTACCTTCCTATGCTGCCACCTGGTGGCCACTTGGGAGCTACTCGAGTGGCAGCCACCTCTAGAAGCTACTACCTCTTAGGCAGTTCCACAGTCCCCCTGATGTCCAGAACTTCACCACCCACCTGGCCAGAAACCTGCTGGTGAAGATGGAGCTACCTAGAGAAAACACTTGGGGCAGCTAGCTGTCTGAGATCCCATTCAGCAGTGGTCAAGGCGGTCCAGCAGAGACAGAAAGATGAAGGAAGATAAATGAAAACATGGGGTGGACCCATAGAGGATGGAATGGTGTTTATAAAGAAAAGCAGTCCTCAAAAGGTCATGCAGATGGCTCAACAGCATGACTGTGGGTATGATATGCATTACAGCAGAATGCCTGCCATGTGCCAGGCTCTTTAAGATATCCTCTTGTAGAGAAGTCCCAAGACTTGCTGCGGAGAGGAACGGCTGGCCAGGTTATGTGACTCACACAGCTGGAAGAAGGCAGAGCTCTTGAATATTTCTTCACACTGACCCAACATGCACTGGGGTGGAAAGCAGAACCAGAGTGTGTCTTCCAATGGTGTTCCTTACTGCTTCAGCAGCATGGTGGTCTCTCAGGGGATGGCTCTTCATCCCCTCATGTAGCTTGGAGGCTGGCCAGTTTGGAGACACCTGAGATTGATGGTTCATCTTATACAATAGTGGGTGCTTACTGGGGGATGCTGAAAAGTGAGTTACAGGATCATTTAGGAATGACAGTTTTTCCTTTGTGGGTTCCCTTTCTCTTAGTTGCTGGCCCCAGCATTCCTGCCATCCCAGTTCACCCACTGTGAGGAAGATGGCTGTGTGGACAATGACTACACACAGAGAGAGCTATGAAAGAGCCAACATTTACTCCTTCATAGTTCTGTGGGCAGAAGTCTAGAGTCAACCTCCCTGGGCTGAAGCCAGGGTGTGACAGATCTGGCTCTCCTTGGGGCCCCAGGGAGAGTACATGAGGCTTTCTTGAGTGTGTGCTGCCCTTGTATCTCCCACTACCATCTGCCCTTTCTCTTTGGCTTCCTCCAGCCCTCCTTGACCCCTCTGATAAGAGAAAGCCCATGATTACATTGAGCCCTCAGTGATATAGGTGGGCCTCAGTCTCACTTCCTTAACTACTTCTATGTGGTTTTGTTACTACAGCACTTAGGATAGGGCACATTTGGGTGCCATCATTTAGCTCTGAGGCAGAACAGTACCAGTGTTTGGATCTGCTGTCTCCCAAAAGCAAATGTATTGGAAGCTTGGTTCCTAGTGCAGCAGTGTTCAGAGGCAGCTGTCCTACCGCATGCTTCTACCATAAATTCTTATCTCACCACAGGCCAGAAGTCATGTGAAGAATAGGCCCTCTTCTCTCTCAGTTGATTGTTTCAGGTATTTCATCACAGTCATGCAAAGTTGACAACACACAGGACCTCCAACAAACCTCACAAATGAACCCTACTCCTCCGTGCATTGTGAAGAAGCAATTTTCCAAAAGAGGTAATGTGGGAAGCAGTGTTTCCCCCTGCCTGGGGCTAGGAAGGCAGGAGGATGTGGCCTGAGGGCTCTCATGGACCATCCCTACCTCCCTTGATGACTGCAGGGATGGACCTTTGACCTCTGTCTTTCCTGTGAGGTCACCCCTCGTGCATTGGCCAGCTCCTCTCCAAGTGCTCCTCTGTCCTCTGTCCACTGTGGGCATGGAGCCTGACATAGGGTAGGATCTTTTTTTTTTTCTTGTTTGAGACAGGCTCTTGTGATTTAGTCATGACTGGCCCGGAACTCAGAGAGATAGCCCAACTTTGATTCTATAATGCTGGTATTAAAGGTGTGTGCCATACCAGTGGACTCAATTCCTGGATCCTACAGTGGATGGATAGAAAGAACTCCTGAAAGTTTTCCTCTCACTTCCACACATTCATACAATGACAGAAAATTTAAACTAAATCTTAAAAATCCATTTTAATAGAAAGGTATATATATTTCTTTGTAGTTACTTTCAGGTACCTTTGCTTCCTGCACCTGCTAATATCAGCCCAACATAGCCCCTGAGAGCTACTGCCACCTTGTGGCCTCATCTTTATTCTATTTTTTTTTTTCTTTTTTTTTTTTTTTTTTTTTTTTTTTTTTTTTGTCTTATCAGTCTTCTATGGTGTTACCACTCCTTTTTGCCACTTAAATTTGTTTTCAGTCTATTAATATTGTGTGTTTGTGTGCGTGCGTGCGTGCGTGTGTGTATGGGGGGGGCGGGTTGCATGCATGCATATGTCTGCTCATGCTCAGAGGCCTGTGTGGGGGAATGCATGTAGAGACCAGAGGTGGCATCAGATGTCATTCCTCAGGAATAGCGCCCCTATTACAATCATGGTGCTACTTCCAGCTTTTCATGTGGATTCTGAGATTGAACTCAGGCTTCATGCTTGGCAGCAAGCACTTTATCTACTGAGACGTCTCTCTCCCCAGTCCCCATTAGTACTGTTTGTGAAGTAGCTTCTTGATCAGCTCAGTCCTCTACATGACATGCCTTCCATCACTTATATATCATCTCATTTTCTTATCTTATTGCATTTGCCTTGATTTAATGTTTATTTTTTAAATTGAAATCTTTGTTATTTTGTCCTATTTTGGGGATATGGTGTCACCATGTAGCCCAGGCTGGCCAAGATCTTGACACCCTTCAAGCTTATTTTAGAGAATCCTTTGTTTATTTTGAATGCATAAAATTGTGTTTATTTGTGGGGTGTTGCATGACATTGTCACACATGCACACATTGTGAGACATTTGATCATGGTAAGCTTGTCTATTGTCTCTAATATTCATCAAATCTTTGTTGTGAAACACAAAACCTTCCCTTTTAAGATTTTTTTGGGGAATGCTTTGAGAATACAGTTTTAAGGGAGGTTCCCCCCCCCTTCAGGGTACAAGGCATACCCAGACACCAAATTCTTAGCACAACAGAGATTATTACTCTGGAGGGTCAAGCAATGGGAGTGGGGGGAGGAGAGGCTGCAAAGGCAGATAGCAAGCAGAAGCAAGCAAGAGCAGGTGCTTCTGCAGGAATGGGGTTTTTAAGGGGAAAGGGGGGGTCTGTGCTAGTGTGAGCTGGTAAATCCTCATTGGGCATGTTAGCTAAATAATGAGATTTGATTGTTGGACCATGATGTTTTATCTCAGGAATGAGTCAGTGGCCAAATAAGGGAATGGACCTTGGGGGCTAGCTTTAGGAATATAATCTAACTGTTTTTAGCAATGGGAAGGAGGGTAAACCTGCCCATGCCATGTTAGCCATGCCTGGGCTTGTTAGAGCCCTCAACAGCGTACTGTTATCTAGTTATCATGTGGATGTTATTTCACATTATAACTCAGTGTCCATTATCCATCTTTTCCCGTCCTCTTCTCCGTTCAGTTGATGTTGGATTGTGATGGTGTCCACCCTACCTTGTCTCTGACTTCAATGAAGTCAGTTTGAAGCTTACTACTATAGCCCTTGCTATCAGCTCCTAGTATTAAAGGGCACTCTGTTCCAGCATGTCCAAGACACCTTCCTGTCATGTCAGTGCCTTTCTTTAAGCCAGCCGTCCTCTCCTGGGATGACTTCACCAAGCTCGCTCTTCTCACTTTCATACTTTACCACCCTATCCCAAGTCTTTTTTGAGTTGCCTCACAAAATCACAAGTTGAGGGCTTTGTGGATAGGGGGAGGTGGAGGGGTGAGGTGGGCTCATGTGGTTTGCTCATCCATCTGCCAATGTCTGCTTTGTAAATAGTATCATTGAGCTTAGCTGTGTTCATTTACTTGGAGAGGACCATGTGCAGCTTTGCACTGCAGCACCATGGTGGGGAGCGTGGGCCTTACGGGAGTGCAGTAATTGCCCCTGCTCCTTATTGAAAGTTTGTGACCCTAGGTGTTACATGCAGCTAAATTCACACTCAGGGCAAAGGATGCCCAAAGTGTGTCCTACCCACAGGTCTCACTGAAGAAGGTGTCACCATGTCTCTATAAGGCAGAAATGTAGTCCTGGACAGAGCAAAGTGTAAATGAATGGTAAGCCTTGCCTACTCACTCCAAAGCTGCCAGATCTGGAGAAGACCGAGGTGGGGAAGTGGGCCCATCTGTTGCTCAGTCAGTTGCCCTGATCTAGGCTGTGTGGCCACACCAGTCCCTCCTTTGCCCAAACTGGTGTGACCCTCCTTTCACAGCAGCTGTCCTTGCATTAGCACACAACCCCCTCCATCACAGCCCCTCCACAGAGGCCACCTCACTTTTCTATCCCAACTCCCCCACAGACCTGCATGTCTCCATGCTTTCCACCATGACGATGATGGACTAAACCTTGAAACCTGTAAGCCAGCCCCAACTAGAGAGATGGCTCCGCAGTTAACAGCACTGGCTACTCTTCCAGAGGTCCTGAGTTCAATTCCCAGCAACCATATGGTGGCTCACTACCATCTGTAATGATAAATGGTGCCCTCTTCTGGCATTCAGGGATACATGCAGGCAGAACACTGTATACATAATGAATAAATAAATCTTAAAACAAAACAAAACAAAACAAAAAATCTTGCCATGGTCGTAGTGTCTCTTCACAGTAATCAAACCCTAAACAAGACAGTAAATAACTCAAAATAGTTTCAGGAAGTCCCTGAAACTGACCTGATTCCTGAAACTGACCTGATTCTCTAGACTCCTCCCTGCCAGAATAGACAATTAAAGCTGAGAGTCTGCCACAGAGGCGAGAAGCCAAGCTGCAAGGAAGATTCTGAGCTGCAGAAAAGACTCCTGGAGGAGAAATGCTGCAAAGAAGACTCTGAGAGCAGCCTGGAAGGAGCAGAAGCCAGCCAAGCACCTGGAAAGGACAATCCCAACCTGTCATGCTGCCTGTAGGCTGAGCAGTGTGCCCTAGGTTCCCAGCTTTATAAGCTCTGACCCATGCTGAAGTGGGCTTTGGTGATGCAGGTGTTTTTGAGCCATTTCTGCTCCTGTAAGTAACCCCTCACCCACACTCCTGTGAGCAACCCCAATAAAACTCCTTGATTCACCAAATTGGACTTTGGTGGTATCCATATTTCAGTCTGTCATGGGTTCCCTATCAGGGATGAGCAGACATGTGTTGAACCTCTCCCCTGGGGGGAAAATTGTATCACACAATAGGTGGCACCATCCCATAGACTTGGGTACTGGAATGGAATAAAAAGGAAAAGTCACTCAGCCTCTCTCTGTTTCTGCCTCCCTGCCTCCCCCTCTCTCTTCCTCTCCTACTCTGTCACTTTCCTGCTTTCTTCACCTCCATCTTTCCTTCCTCCCTCTTTTCCTTTTCCCTGGTCTGTTCCCTTTGTTTCTCTTCATCTTTCTCCTTATCTCTCTTTCCTCTCACCTCCCTCCCCACTTCTTGTCCCTCTCTCTCTTTCCCCTATGTAGCCCTCTCATCTCTCTCTGTCTCTGTCTCCGTCTCTGTCTCTCCTTCCCTTCCTCCCTGCTTTCCTCTTTCCAGGCTCCCTTGAGGTAAGCAGACTTTCCACAGCTTCAACCACCAAGATGTTCTGCATCATCACAGGCTCACAACAGAGCCAAGGCCTGAACCCTAGGAACCATGGAACAAATCTAACTGTCCCTCTAATGTGTTCTTCTGTGTCAGTGCTTCTCAACCTTCCCAATGCTGTGACCCTTTGATACAGTTCCTCATGTCATGGTAACCCCCAACCATACAATTATTTGCATTGTACTTCCTAACTAATTTTGTTACTGTTATGAATTATAAATGTAAACATCTGTGTTTTCTGATGGTCTTAGGTGACCCGTGTGAAAGGGTTATTTGACCCTGGGGGTTACCACCCACAAGTTGATAACCACTGTTATGTACTTGTCACTGAAATGGTAAACTGAAGAAACCAGCATGTTCCAGAAGAGGAGAGCAGTTAGCAGCAACCTGGCAATCCCTCCCTGCAGTGTCTGGTGCAGAGCCACCCAGAGGTGATCTGTGGGTAGTGGCAAGTTTTCTTTTCTTTGGACTTAGCAATATTCAATTTTTAAAGAAGAACATACATTATTTTTAAATTAAAGGTTATGTCACTCCACAATCCCTGCACAAGGTGTGTGTTTGTGTGTGTGTGTGTGTGTGTGTGTGTGTGTGTGTGGAGAGAGAGAGAGAGAGAGAGAGAGAGAGAGAGAGAGAGAGATCCAACCTTATAGAACTGAAGCTGGCAGAGCCCCAGGCTGTCTCCATGCAGGCCCCTCCCAGGACACCTGCAACCTGATTTCCTAGAGAGCACCTAATTCACAGTTCTAGAACAATGTATATGTATCAGACTCATGTTCCTCACAGATACTGAGTTTTACCCACACTACACTGCTCATTTTTCCTTATAACTAAAACCCCTCAGGGCTATTTGGATATGCAAGGTAGCTTTCGATGCCCTGTTATCTTGTTGAATGAATGCTGATTCAATTTATCTAAACCCTATCCAAGGGCATTTAAAATGTTTCCAATTCTTACCAGCCAGGCATAATGGTTTATGCCTTTAACGCCAACACTCAGGAGACAGAATCAGGGTGTATCCTCGTGAGTTCAAGGCTAACCTGGTCTACACAGCAAGTGCAAAGCTAGCCTGGTCTCATAGTGAGTTCTGGAACAGCCAGAACTATGTAGTGAGACCCTGTCTCAAACAAATCATAAAATAAAGTTTCCAATTCTTTTGAACATGCATCCACATACTTAAATTATAGAAGTGATAGAGAATTGTTATAGATACTTCCAGCCAGCCAGAATATAGAAAGCAAAAACCTAAAGGAAGTTCGTCTGAGAAAAATGGCCTTCACCACAAATGCTTCTGGGTGTATCAGATAGTAACATAGGAAAGACTGACTGCGACCTCTGTCTCATGTTGGCTCAGAAAGTCCCCTCTATGCAGTTGCAGATCTGTGTGGGAGGTGAAAATGAAAAGCTCCTAAGCCTCAGAAGGGCTCTCATCCCATTTGCCATTATCAACTGTCAAAATAAGAACTTCTGTCATCAAAGAGGGTTAAAAAAACAACAAACAACAACAACAACAACAACAACAACAACAAACCCCACAGGGTTTCCTCCGTGTAGCTCCGACTGTCTTGGAAATCATCTTTAGATGAGTTATAGAGATCTCCTGCCTCTGCCTCCCAAGTGCTTGGGATTAAAGACATGTGCCACCACTGCCCAGCATGAAAGAAACTCTTTTTTTTCATTCATTTATTTAGCTCATAAAGAAAGTCATGCACAATTATGATACACAATATTCACAATGGCATGGCTAAATTAAGCCAATTAACATGTTACATCACACATATTCATCATTTTTGTTTTGAGAACACTTAAAGTATGTCATCTCACCCCTTTTAAAATATAGCATATTGTTATCAACCATATTTATCATGCTCTCAGTAGACCTCAAGACTTCACAGAGTCCATGCCTCTTGTCCAACTGCAGTTTTATATCCTTAAACCAATCCTTTCCCCATTGTTAAAATTCTGTTCTCTGTTCATCATTTCTAGGTTACACATAAAATTGAAATTGTGTGGCATTTGTCTTCCAGTGTGTCACTTATTTATTTATTTATTTATTGGCAAAGAAACTCTTATAATGAGGGGCTAGTTGGTTATAGCTGTCATCTGTGTGAGGACTCATGTCCAGAATAGAATCATAGTTCATAGAGGATAGAAAACCCCATGGAGGATGGTGCACTTCACAGAATGTGTGTTAGTTATTTTTTCTTGTTATCTGGCAGAGCAACTTAAGGAAGAGTTTATTTGTGGCTCTCAGTTCAAGAGCACAGTTCATCATGGCAGGGAAGGCATGTGCTTATAGTCAGGAAGCAGAGCCATGGATGCTGGTGCCCAGCTCACTTTCTCCTTTTTATTCAGTCTAGGACCCCAGTCCATGGGATGGAACCACACACATTCAGAGTGGATCTTTCCATGTCCATTAGACAAATCTAGAAACTCCCTGGCAAATATACTCCACAGTTTGTTTACATGGTGAGTCTAAATGTCATCAAGTTGACGGGATGAACCACCACACAAGGATATTGACAACAAACATGGAAAAGTGCTGAATTTCATCAACCATGAAAAAAATGCACAACAAAATCACAATGTGAAGCTACTACCTACTCCACCAACAATTGAAAAGAGAAAGCAGTATTACATGGAATGTCATCTTGTGCTATTGGGTTTCGAGTTATTTGTTATGCAGCTGTAGCTAGCTAATGCAATCATCTGGGAAGTTTTAGGAATGGTTCAGAGGGTGAAAGTGTTAGCATCCAGGCAAACCTTGGCTCCACCCCTTGGGAACCTGGCACAGTGCTTAACCCTTCTGCGCTTGGCAAGCAGTATCCTCATTCTGTAAGTGGGTGCAAGCTACTTTAAGAGACAAGCCCGCCTTACCCTCCATCCCCCCACCATTTCTCTGAGGAGGCAAGTCACTGTCTCTCTGTCTCTGTCTCTCTCTGTCTCTCTCTGTCTCTCTGTCTCTCTCTCTGTCTCTCTCTCTCTCTCTCTCTCTCTCTCGTTTCTCTTTCTCTCTTCTCTCTCCCCTCACTCCCCGCCTTTCACCCAATAAACTTCCTTCCCATGTAAGTTTTTCCTGATGGTGTGTTTGCCCCCTGCCATGGGATCCATGGTCCCACCTCAAGCCACATATCATAAAACAAAATTGTACCTTTGGGAGTCAGGTTTTGAAAGACTTATTTTTAAATTATGTGTGTGTGTGTGGGGGGGTGCTGATGGTTGCAAGTATAGGAGGGCATCAAACCCCTTGCAGCTGGAGTTACAGGTGGTTGTGCATCACCTGGTATGGGTACTAGGAACTGAACTTGGGTCTTCTGCAAGAGCAGTCCATTCTTTTAAGCCCTGAATAATTTCATCAGCTCACTGGGACTCAAGGTTTTGGAGCTGACTGTATTTTCTTTTCAGATGTAGTATAAAGCCAGGCAAAGGCAGGGCATACTGTAATCTCAGCACTGGGAGTCTAGGCAGGAAGAGGCCAGCTTCGGCAACATGGTGAGATATGTCTTACCCTCCCAAACCCAAAGCTTTAAAAACATTGAAGTTTTTGGAGAGCTTTTTACTTTAATTGAATTTCATCATAATGGCTCTGATCCCCACTTTCTGTAGCTGACTCTTCTTTGATCTGCAGATTTCGTCCCAGCCCTGGCGAGCTCTGGCCACTCTGGGTCAGAACATCACTGAAGCTGCTGTGCCCTGTGCTGGATGCCAAGAGGGAAAGACAATTCATGTGAGAAAATGCTCACAAGCAAGCATGCACGAGCATGTCACAGAGATGGGCTCTGACCTTTAAAACCAATTATCTGCAGGGACACAGCAAGCTGAGCTGTGAGCTGCCACCTATGGGATGCACTGCACAAGCTTTGGAACATACACCAGCTGTTCAGTCTGATTCTGCCCTTTGAATGACCAAACCATGTTGTGTCCCTAGAGCCTTCTATATGGGACCCAACTCATTGCTGCAACCTTGCCCACAGATGGCATGGCTGTCCTTGATGGGACTCACAGCAGGGGCAGGGACTGGCCCTTGTTCTGGCCTTTTGACAGGACAGCTTGACAGGCTGATCCTGAGATGTGCACTCTTTTAAAGAGCAGGAACTCTGCCATGACATCCATTCCAGGCTCAGGTCTCCTATGCTCAAGCTACACCCAGTGTCACAACTCACTTTCTGTTGCCTGCAGATCAAGATATAGAATTCTCAGCTATTCTTCAGCACTTTGTCTGCCTGTATGCTTCCACATCCCACCATGATGAAAATGGACTAAACCTCTGAAACTGTAAGCCACCCCAATTAAATGTCTCTTCACAGCAATAGAAGCCCTAACTAAGACAGCCATCCCAGTCACACTGGTACTTCATTCCCACACTCACTCACACTGACCACAGAGGGTTATGACATTAGTTACCCACTGCCCTCCACCACATCCTTCCCACATGCAAAATGCCTTCATTCCTATCATTCTCAAAGCCCTGTGAATTCTAATATTGCCTTGAGATACTCACACCATC